TTTTACTTAAATTAGACGAACTCCTTCGCCGCGGATAAAGCCGGAAGGGATTTTGTGAGCGAAGCTTGAAATGAGTAAGTAATATTTTTTGTATATTTTGGTCAATAAACTAAAAAACAAGATAATAAAAAGGAAAATAAAAGTACCTAATGTGCTACGAAATATTTCCTTTTTTAATTTGTTCTAACCCTTACATTGTATTTGACCTTGACTTTTATTTTAGGAATATGAAGTCAAAATATTCTATGTAAACTTTTTGATAAGATATGCTAAAGATAAATATGTCACATTCATAGTTCCAAGTAAATACAATATACCAAATATTGTAAGAAACTTGTGGATTTTGATACAGGTACGAATTTTTTATTGTTTTTATTTAAATTCTATGCAGGCAAGCCATGGCGATATTACACGATACCGTGTTGTTTCGAACTTACCATGTCTTGAATTGAACTCGTTCTTTTGGAATTATAATAATAATTGACTTCGTTGGTATATCAAAGTGTTAAATTGTAAAAATTAATAATAAAAAAAGGCCCGGAGCTTTGGTATGTTTAAAAAAAATTGTGATTTAGATCCGAAAAATGGTTTTATTTCCTATGTGTAACAATCGCGAAAATGTAAGAATTCGACAAAACAAATTATTATACCACGAACACCCACATATCAGGATGTCAGCAGTACGCATATGGAAAGATACACCATGCTATAGCAGTCTTTATCAAGGCAGAACCTATAAGAGATCGTGGGATTATGTCGACAAATTTTACCTAAAGATAGTACAAGCGCAATACAGCAAACGTGGTTGGAAATAATGCAGGTCTTTGTCTAGCACTGCGACATAATATTCGCATAGATTGACGCAAAACTTAAAGCTACTAAATACACATAATCTACGTCTTATAACAATTGCGTCCCGTAAGTTGTCTTTCTTCTTAGAGCCATAGTACAAAGATAACTCCAGTAGTTCTCTATTAGCGTCTAACGCATAAAAAGTAAAATACTATTAATGAATGTGCCCCCATTCCAACGCCTGCTGAGGTCAACTGGTCAGCAAACAGTGCGCTAGTACAAGGCTACCGAACAGTTTGTAAAAAACCGGTTGTTACTATATAATCGTCGGGTGCAGTTTGACAACTGCTGTTCAATCATGTTCGTGGTTATCGAAACTGTCGTTCTAATAACAAATGAATGCGTGAGATATAATGTCATTTGCACCAATCCATACCATAACTCTAGAACATTTCAAAATATTACCTATGTGTAAATACATAAATATGTTAGGCAAGGCAGCATAACCTTATCAAAGAACATGTAGCTAATTTAGTTTTATTTATTTTCATAGTGGTGTATTTGGAATGTCTCCAACAATTCAGTACTAGGTTACGTTAGTACGACTGCCGAATTTTTTTAAAGAGAATCCAGTGTTAAAGCTTTGAAATTAGATTGAGACCTTGGTAATGTTCCTGGTTGATGCTTCACCTAGGGTATATCGACCTAAATACGTTAATCTGCACTTAGAGCCATCAGATTTGCTTGGATATATACGTATAGAGATAACGGAGTACTTTAGACGCCTTCTGCTTCACCCAGATAGTAAGAAAAGCCTTCTGAAATGGTGGAGAGCCGGCAACAAGAACGTTCAAGTCAGTAGGTCCTAACACTATTGCAAAGTGCAACACTACATCAATATAGTGTTAAAGATGATTTAGGTTTTGTTAATTATATCAAGTGACGGGATGAACAAGCAGTCCAGCAGGTGTAGTGTCACTCAGAGCCTTAAATCGCAAAGACCTGAGGGATACTGCTACTGCTATCTGGAGACATGAGTTGGCAAATCCCACGTGACTGCAAAAATGTCACCAAAGTAATTAAATTAAAAGCTATCGACTCCCAAGTTTTAATTTGTAGAGTTGTAGGCCAATGTTTTATTCATTACTTAATCTTTTAATTAATTAATTACTTAACTTAGTCAATGTACATTGACTCGTAAGTAATCTCTCTCTTATTCAAGCGTTATAAGTACTGGAAGTAAAAAAGAATGATTGAAATTTTGTGTCGTGATTCAATCTACACTGCATAACTTTCATTTAACCTTATTCAGTTTACGAAAAACGATTTCTCCACTTGAGATAATAACTGTCTAATTACCAATTTGTGTTTTTAACGAAAAGATGATTGATAATTGGATAAGGAAAAGTCACACTAGGCATCAGAATACTTTTTAACAATCTTGTAATTTATTTGTAGCTAAGCTGTTTTAGCATGTTTTTGCTCTAACAAATACAAAAGTAGCAATAGAGTAAAGCGTTACAGAATGAACCTTTGAATAAACCAGTGACACTTAATTTGAACACGCTGCAAACAACAGAAAAGTTGACATTACGTTCTTATAAATTTTCTGTATATTTTTTATATTTTTTCACTTATTTTGTAAATATCATGGACTTTATTATATGAATTACAAAATTACATTTTAGTACCTGGAATCAGTTCAGTCTCTACTTTTGACTCTGTTGCCTTGATTTCACGACAGAAATTAGTAATTTTTAAATAATGTCCAGTCCTTAAAAATTTGAAAATTGAGCAAACGCATGGTATGAAGCTAAGTCCATATGCTGCAAAGATTGCCAGTGTAAAAGCTATAGATCACCCAGAGAGCAATGGGACGGGTTATGTTGGGTATCTCTCTCCGAGATTTATTCACGAACTTGGATGTTCAGAGCAGAACGAATTTGGTCGACATGGACAAAGTGATAGTCAGCAGACAGTGAAAGTATGCAGTGGAAGATCATGGATGGGGCGGAAGAGTGTTTGAAAATGGTGGGAAAAAAGTTGTTGAGGAAGGCACATGACCTACACTTCGCATTGGGTAGATAGCGGTTGAAAAAAGAAAAAGAAAAAGTACTTTCAAAATTATAAAGAACTTTGTGCGCAAATAAAGGTTTTCATTGGGTTATTGTCGGCCCTGCGTAAATCGAGGCAGAGCGGCAGTAATTCAATTATTCGTGGCTCATCTGCTTTCAATCGTTCATACGCGGAGTAACTTCACTCGCCGTATAACTTATTTCACCGAAGATGTCTTTATCGAAACACTTAAAAAATGTTTCATTCATTAATTTATTCATTCAACTCAGTTGAGAGAGAGAAAGAGAAGAGGTTGAGAGTGAGATGACATAAAAGTAATAAAATATACGACAGAACAATTTCGGAATGCTGTTATTTTATTAAATCTTATTTCCGTATTCCTTTTATCAGCTTAGTTAGGAGGAATTTAGGATATTTTTTTTAAGTTGCTACAGTCACGTGGTTGAATAGGTATCTAGACATAATGAAATTAAAATCGAGTTTTCTACAGGTTTGTTCAAGTTTAATATATACATATCAATCAATTGAATTTCGCTACAGATAGTTTTAAACTTGCCAGTTTCATCAGATGGATCAATTTAAAATACAAACTAATAAGATTTTACGCGATTTTAAAATTATATTTTACCGGACTAAACAACGAATTCATAATTAAAATAATCATTGTGTGCATTTCGAAAACATGAAGCAATAAGGTGTCATTGATTTTTTTTTAGTAGTGCGATGGCCAGTGATATTTCATTAGTTTAAACATTGAAGAGAGAAGCGATTTTAGTGAATTTAGTGATTGGCTCTAAAATAATCCGTATATAATTTCAGTATAATATTATTTACACGTGACTGCACTACGATAATGTTTATTATCATATTGTGTAAATCCGCTATAATTCTGATCGTACGTCCAATTTCATTTTTAGGCCGCTTTTTTTCTATTATGATCTTAATGAGTATTTTTGCTCTTGAAGTCTTTTGGTAGGATATATGTAATAACTCATCATCATTTATATGAAGCTTGATCGAAGCTTTTTGTATTATTTATTTTTCGGCGTTAAATACAAATCTATTTTAAGGATCTACTATAATTTAAATACGATATAAATGGTGGAGACGGTTTTACCATCATAAAGCTATTTAGTACGCAGTTTAGATATCTGGAAAAAAATATTTGATATTAACCACTTTTGTTACAATATCTTTATAACAAAAGTTCTTTTTATTTTTATTGCACAGGGAAACATAAATCTCATTTAGTAAAAAGGAAAGCACAAACAGAAGGTACATCTTATTTTCAAAAGAAATTTCTTTCTGCAGAACTAAATACAATATAAGTTTTTACAATAAAGTTTTTAATATTATTCGTTTTTTGAATTGGCATTCGAAAAACAGATTTTAAGATACGGCTAGCAGACATAAACGCTAGAAGATGCAGGATCTTTACAGTAACTGATAAGTTACTGTAACTGATTAGTTAATGTAGAGATCCTACATCTTCTTCGTGCATCTGCAGGTGCGTCCTGGATAAATGGTCCCTGTAGAATTATGGTTATTGAACGATCAATATACGAATTAATATACGAATTAATAAAGAACAATTAATATACGAATATTAAAGTTTTACTAATTAATTTAATTACTAAAAATATTTCACGGAAAAAATGTCTCCACCAATTGTCCTGCCCTTTATTAAAAACAAAGGTGACGTCAAAATCTGCAATGCAAGCGCAACTTGCATTAAACATTTTTAGTTACGTGCTTCCAGCACGGTTTGCGGGTGTTCAACACGATCGTAGAACCATGTGTTTTTGTATTCCTGACTTTCTTATGGTTTTGTAGAACGCAGATCAATAAATTAGAAACAGGTGTAGGGTCGTAAAGTTGTGGATTGATTTATGTGCCAACATGTACTCGTAGTACGAGAAATGAAATAGGACCAAAAAGCAATTTTACAGCGTTGTTTTGCAGGACTTATAAATTTACGTTAAGAAACCTTAATAATAAAGATGTATTCCACTGAACTAAGAATTACATGTTTAATTTACAAAATATCTCTAAGAAAGAAATACTTAAACACTTAATATTTTATTATAAAAAACGACGACCAGAATCAAGCTACTTTATGGCAAATGACATACCTTGTTATAACATCTGCAGCACAAATTTTACGGAACCCTTGTATCTAATAACACCCATTCAGTACAGATGAAACCAGTGAATCGATATACCTTTGTTTTGATTCCTTTCACACAGTTGACTTCTTAAAGATTGCACTGATTTTAATGTGAATTATATTTAGTTATATTGGTTATGTTTCTTATTTTATAAAGGAAGGGGATATAGGGGAGGGTATACGTTTTTATGGGAGTAAAATAAGTGGTAGTTCAGTGGGCCGTGAGGTTATGTTTAGTGCGCGGGGCAGCCGCGCGCGGCGCTACGGGCGGCCGACCGAGGGCGACTGAGCGAAGGGCGGGCAGCTCGCAGCGGCAGTGTGGTTCACTCAGCTGAGTTTTTCTTACGATTAATTCAAAAGTGTAGCGCTAATGCCACACATTCCGTTAACTTTACACGTGTTAATTTTAAAGAATTTCTGTTTGAAAATAGTAAGTAAAATGACACAAATAACGAAATCTTAAACTTAGTAGTATCAGTAGTCATTTTAATATAATACAATTGTAAATAACAATAGCGGGCCTGACGGCGCCCAGGTGAGCGCGGGTCTCGGCCCGAAATGCACCCAACGTCGTCGTCATGGCACAAGGGCGTGCTGTAGAGAGAATGGGCTTGGAATCTGTTGATAACGCGACTACACGTCGAGTAACGTTAGGGTTAATTAATTATAATTATATAATTAATTTAATATATTTATTTCTGGCAACCAATCTGTCTATATCGTCAATCAAACTGTCATTTTGATGTAAGACGTTTTCTTCGGGGTCTATTAATTTGTCAATTACTTGTTTTTCTTCAGAATATTCAACACACTTATTGTTTTGCTTCTCATGGATCGTCCTTTTTAGTTTGACAATTTTTTTTCTCACTTTTTTTTCATTTTTGTCAAATTGATGTAAATAAGGTGCAAAATTGATCAATCTGTTATTGTTTTTTGGTGACAGAGTTGAATAATTCTTGTAGCAATGTATAGATTGACATATATCTGCCTTAACTTTGTCAATATTAGTATGTTTACTATTGAAATATTGTAAGTATGCTATAATTTTTTCGGTTATCCATTTTCTGAAGAACCAAACGTTGGTATATACGCTTGGTTTATCTTTATTAGAGCAACCATCGCCGTGTGATACTATTCCTACTACGTATCTGCAAAATGGGGGTTTAAGTTTTAAAATTTTATTTCTACATAATATAAATGCATCAAGAATAATATCGTGATATTCAATTATTTTTGTGAAATTACTCCACTAGTTCAAGTAGTTGAAAGTTCTTGATTCAATTATTATTACAAAGATCGAACATGAAGAAAGACTCGTTCGATCCGGCTGGACTCGAACTGGGGAAAGGAGTTTTTCTTTGTTTGATCTTTGTATTAAAATTATAACAAACTGGTGGAGTAATTTAAAAAAATAATTGAATATCATGGTAGTAAAACATCGTTGATATTCATTAAACTTAATATAACAATTATTAAAATCTTGTCAGCCTGGTTGAGTGAATAAAAACTTTCATAGATTTCTCACAGATGGTGCTATGGCAAAAAGTCATTAAAACCAAAAAGTAAAAATCTGCAACAACCTCATACAAAAAGTCAAAAAGACTGCTGTACGGCGAGGTCTCTGGTTTGAGTTCAGTCGGATCGAAAGAATTTTCTTTGTGTTCGACCTTTGTATTAATAGTAAGTAAATCAAGAACTTTTAGAGGAATGCTGATCTCAGTGACCCCGTTCCTTTCTACATAAGTTTTGATTATAGTGACCCTTCCTAACAACCCTTAGGGTATACAAGAAGGGCACTATTACAACCTGTTCAAGCACAGGGACCTTCTAAGTTCAGGACCAGACCCCTAATCAGCCAGTGTACAGGGTTGTCACAAACCATTGTCACTGGCTTCATCCGGTTCTCAAGAGGCTAGTGCCATGCGTGAGCCGCCCCGGGTGCACGTACAGTGCCCTCCTTATTTTCCAGATTGGTACCGGAGTTGTAGGCACGTTCACTTCCCAACGTCGAAGGGTCTCTCCAGTTACCAGAAACCTACGCGGCTTTAGGCCTCGTCTATACCGAGACAGACGCCCCGGACACACACCATCGGGGCAGATGAACATGTCCGTCTGTGCAGCTACCATCAGCCCCGGCGAGTCCGTACCCAGAGTCATGGTCCTGTAGCCTCCCCGGAACTCCCTTTCTCTCTGGCCAGTAGATAGGCACAGACCTCAGATGCTGATCTCAGCAGTACAAAGTTTAAGGGTTCATAGATAACCTCTTAAATCTTGTAGTACATATCTACATAAATTATAAATATGAATAATAAAATAAAATTACTTTATTTTGTCTCAAATATTAACAAAATTGCGTACAATATCCTTTAAGGACCTTTTTTTAAGTATGAAAATACTTGTATCAAGAGGTCTCGCGCCTCTATAACTGGTACGTAATTACTATAATGATGAATAGTATTGTACCGCCGCCATCGCAAATGTAACGAAAATATCCTTGATATTGCTGGCTTTGGGACATAAGATCTTAATCTATTATTCCTGTGATTGCCCTGAATAAACAACAGTTCTCCTTTGCGGCAGAAATAGGAAGCATGTAAGTACCGCCCTACTTATCTATTAACTAATGCATACAAACGGTCATACCCATTCCAAAGTACTCCTCCACCAGAATCACCGCTGCACGAGTCCATATGTGCGTGGCCGTATAGACAGAACATATCGGCAGTCAGTTTTAAATTATGCATTACGCTACATTCTGCCGAAGGTATATAATTTAGCGTCGCCATTAGCAGGCCGTGCTCCGACAGCGGACCATTGTGCTGTAAAAAAGTTCTAATGGAGAAGTTCAATTTTTTATTTAAATTTTTAACAAACAACCCGTCTTTTAGCACTGTTGCATTTTAATTTATATTGTAGTGAAAAACCTTTTAAAATTATTTCTACATTTGCTTCTTACCTTGATCACTCCCCAACCAGTGACAGTGAAACCGTGTTCATTTTTGTTCATCCAACGATCATTATCGATCAAATCAGCTTTCTGTGCTCTTTTACTAAAGTCGATAGGATTGTTGACGAAAATAAGTGCAATGTCACAGGAAAAAGGAGTTTCTTTGTTATATTCCTCGTGACTATCGATGCGATTCACTGAATAGACTAAAGCATTGTGATCATATAGAAATCTGGAACCTATAAATCATAAAACACATCAGTCACATAACTTCACACTTAGTGAATAAATTTATTTGTCTTCAGTGTCACTTGGGAAAAAAATATGATCCATGATATAATAAGCATATTGCTCCAAAAATTTTTTGTCGCAGTAGAGCATCCTACCTATTTTAGTCGCCAAGTAGTAGTTCACATCACTGCGTTCCGATTTTGAAGGGCAAGGGTGCTAGTGCAATTACAGGCACATGGGACATGTCAACATATTTCTCGCGTGACACGGGCGCAGTAGCCGGGCACCTCAGATCTTTGTAATTTAAAGCTCTGAGCGGCACGTGCAGGCGCATCGTTTACCACCAGGCGCACGAGTTGCTCGTCTCGTTACTTGATATCGTAAAAAAACGTTAACAACATTATAACAAAATGTAAGAGCGGTTGCACACGACGGCTTTTATCAGCGATGCAAACGCGATGTAAACGCGGATGCAGTAGCTAGTCGTCTATCTTTACACACACGCGCGACTTTAAGCAGATATGCAAACGCGATGCAAATGCGCGATTACATCATTACAAATGCGCGATTGCGTCACTACACTTCTGATTTATTAGCGATTGTATCAATGCACTTGCACGTCTGCATCGATGCAATCCGGCGTTTGCATCGATGTCATCGCTTATAAATCACAAGTGTAGCGATGCAATAGCTGCTAAAAATCGCCGTGTGCTGCTAAATACCTCTCTAAATCAACTTTACATACCAACATGTACCGATATGTCACTAGTTTTATTGTTATGACTGAAACAGTGCGCTGCAGATAAAATGCTGAAGATATTTAAAATAGTACCGGCGCAAAGAGCGCCAGAGTTGAACACTAGTGCCGACCAGGGGTACCGTTCGATATCGACTGGAGCACCTCTCACGATCCGAGGCTCCATATGTGTTGATTTATTTTCATTCTCCCGATGAATCTTGACAGCAAACGCTTTAACATTACATTGTCCAGAGTTAAAATAAAAAATCGAAAATAATAGTCCAATAATAAATTTTCTAAACGAGATCGGCAATGCATATGAGCAAAACATTTTTAATATTAGGTTTTAGCCATTTACTTGGTGTCATTTGTTGGTAAATGCCTTACGTTCGTGGTATGGTAATTAATTGCTTTTTATTACTGATAATGTACTCTTAATTACAAATTTTACTGGAAATAACATGTTGCGATTGCTGAAGTTTTCTAGAAAGTCATTAGTATTGCAGCGATTTTATGTATAAATTTAGTTGGACACAAGAATGAACAAGATGTTTTGACGTGTCATGGAACTTTAAATTATAAAATTGTTGATATTCATATTTGAGAAACGGCGCTTTGTTTTCTGTTAAATGGTAAAGTGGAGTCTTTAGTTGGGACATTAACAGACAGAACTAACGAAGCGGTTTTGACCCGCGCCCGCTGCGGTTGCGGGACAGCTGTTTTATTTCAACACTCACGATACCGCAGGTTTGTGCGGTCACGTATCCGCCGCGGTTGCGGAACGGCCCGCAAACTTGGCGGGAGAGGATCGCAAGGCGCGCGGTTATTTAAGATCGATTGAGATCATCAGTTCAGCCTCAGACGTCGCCATGGACTCACATCAAAAATGAGCTATCGCGTTATACTTACTTCATCGAAGAATTAAAAGAAGAAGGCCTAGAAGATTCAGGGTGCATGCATCCTCTGATTCCGGAAAGAAATCGTTACGGATTATTCGTTGTTGTTATTAATGAGTTAAAAAAACAAGAAGACAAATTCTTTAATTTTATTCGGAACTCCGTATCTACTTATTCAGAACTTTTAAGAAAAATGGTAACTGGTAGGAAATTAATTGATCGACTTTAACATCCATAACTTGAAAAATCGATACGCGCTGCCAATTCGAAAATCAATCAAACAAAATGGTGTGTGAAGGAAAGACCCAACCCGCGCGCGCGCAACGCGTCACACGCGAACCGAGCGCAGAGTGCGCGGGCGACCGCGGCCCTCGCGGTTTGCGGCCGCCGCGAGCATCTGTCTCCGCTGCGGGCGTAAAACGCGTCGTGAAATTTGCTACTAAATTTTGCATACATTTCTACGTTCTCCGGAGGCCGCGGCCCCGCAACCGCGGCGGGCGCGGGTGAAAACCGCTCCATGAGTTCTTAGCCTAAACTGTATGTATTTCTCCGGAATTACTTACTATTCGAATGACATGACTAAAATTCCCATTATTTTGATATTCTATCTAATGATTTTTTGAAATAACGGAACACGAAGATAAAAATATAATAATAATAATAATATTCTATGTCATATGGGATATAGAAAATAATAATATCTTCATGTACTAGTTTATGTTAAGCATGAAAAGCTTTTATTAAATAATAAAAAATAGTAACTTATTTCACTAATCTATATAAGATTATCTATTTCCATTTTGTAAAAGCATCAACATTCAAATTGAGAGTATTTTATAATTATGAAATAATATTACCTCAAAGAAAAGTCATAATGTGAAGTTTTTTTTTTCAGAATGGACATAATTAAACGTATATTAATTTTCATGTCGTAAGTTTTTTATTGTTGTTCTGATTCTATTAATTATTCGTTCATTTGGTACGAAATTTTCATTAGTGATAGTGTTTTCAGGTATTACTGATATGCGGAGTACAATTTTTAAGTTGGTTCTGGTAGCGTTGCACAAGATTATATTTGGTCACCTAGTTAATTTGGGTGATACTAAAAGTGAATCTAATCATCGTGACCGAGGCAATCGCATCACTAAGGGGGAAGAAGCAGTCCTTGAAGAGTTTCCCTTTCTTGTGCAGTTTCTGAACCACGGTGGTTTATGTGCTGGCACGATACTTACCACAAAAACCGTTATGACGGCTGCGCACTGTTTAGATGCTAACTCTAATCTCAATGAGATGATAGTGTTTTCACGTAGGTATTGTTCTATCACTATAATATAAATTAAATATAAATATTAGCATGTTAAGTAGTTATATGAGTGTAAGGTACGGTTTTAAATATTAAGTTTTTATTTTTCAGAGAGTCGATACATCTTTGACAACTCAGCAATTTCTCACAATATTTTTGATTTCATCAAACACGAAAATTATAATGATGCAGGATTTTCTAATGACATAGCAATACTTATGATTCTCGATACGTTTGAGTTCGGTATATATGTTAATAAAGGAACTCTAACTGATTCTCTTGCTTGGATGGACGAAAGTGTAAAGGTCATTGCCGCTGGTTGGGGTGAAACAAAAGTGAGTATGAAACATAAAAACATTTGGAAAATACCAACAAATCCGTGGTTTTAATATTCATGATTATCAGCCCATTATTGGGTCTCTTCTCAGGCGAGGATTTAGGCCATAGTTCACCATGCTAGCCCAATGCGGGTTGGGGACAATTCACACGTTTACCGAGGGTTGTGCACCTTGTTCGACGCGTGGGGTCAGTACGATATTTTCCTTCACCGAAAAGGTCATGGTTTTCAAATTAAATTTTGCACATAAATTCCGATAAAGTCAGAGGTAACCCAGCTAACCCTGATTCTAATCCACGGCCTCTACTTGAGAGGCAGTACGTCAACACACACATAGGCTACTGTACCGGCTTAGTATTAACTTTTGTTGTTATTATTACGTAGCCCATTTTTGTAGTTGCGTTAAAAACTATCCAAAAAATACAGACTTGGATAAAGCCCTATAATAACCCTATTTCTTATTTTAGTACGGGGGAAACAATCCAGATCCGAATGGTTTGCTGAAGGCAACTACTCTCCACTATGTGTCTCTGAGAAAATGTGAGAACGCGCACAACATAGCATTGACACCCGACATGTTATGTTTATACAGTGAAAAACATCAGGACACGTGTCGAGGAGATTCTGGTGGAGGAGTGGTGTGGAATGGGTAGGCAATGCTATTATACTCGTTGCATGTATCAGTATTGTGTTGGCCAAAAAGGGCGTTTATGATATCAAAGTTTGCAGCTGCTTGCGTTCTAAAGCTACCTTCTCATGCAAATTTAGTAGAACAAACTACTCCAAAAATGGTTTCTTTAAGCGCTCTTTGGATTTCTATAATAAAAACTTAAATATGTAGATAATTTTGGGTTATCCTTACATAGCTTTAAGAAGAAAGTAAGAGAAGTATTTTTTTAAATTTTTTTAGTTTTTAAATCTAATTTGCCTTTATCAGTGAACTGTACCTAATGTTTGGAATGTTACTTTATTATATAGTTTATTATGTTGTTGTATTTGAATGTACTTGAACCGAAACTTATTTGCTAAATTCCTGATTATGTTTGTGGAACGCCAGGTCTATTTGTTCTAATGGATGTATTTTTGTATCATTTACCTGTTTCATGGCTGTTTGTTTTCCTTGAATAAAAAAAAAGCATAAGACTTAAGCTGCGATACAATCGCAATGTAGACGCGATACACGTTTTTAATGATTCAACATAACGTCGGGGATATTGCAATTATACGTAACTAGCACTTGATTATGAATTTCCACTTCGGTAATTTAGTGGCCGAATGAAATCCGCATACCGTGGCAACGAAATTATTGCTTACTGTGCAAAAATGAAAGTCGTACGTAAGTTGAAATAGCAAACGTTATATAAATACAACGTTAAATCCTTCTCTTGTGAAATTTGGTTTAATGCAGATATGCACCGTTTACCAACAACATTGATTAAAGGTTACGAACTTTTTGACTAACCCCTTGTTTGTTAATCAAAAAGATAACTTTATTTTTTTTAAGTACTTTGATTAGCCTACTGTTCTATACTAATTTTCATAGTTCTACGGGTTCTCAATACAAACTTTCATCCCCTATTTTACCCTCTCTAAGATTTATTTTAGACCAAAAGTAACTCATGTCCTTCTTCGAGGTCCCATCTATCTTTATACCAACATTCATCAATATTGGTTCTGCTGATTAGGCATGAAAATATAACAGACAGAGTTAGTTTCGCATTTATAATATTAGTATGGATGCGTGTTTTATATGGAATGTCGTCAGCATGCTCGATACTAAAGAATGCAATCATGTATTCCATACAAAATACACGCTTAATATGGACACGATGTTGATGCGTGCTGACGACTGGTGGCCAACCCGAACTCCGTCAATTAGTTTTTATCTCATGATCTTGTTCTATATTATGTATTTTCTACATTAAGTCGTCTGAGAAGTATCTTGGTTCATACTTTGTTTTTTGAATAATTTTATCTTTAAATTATTAAATACAACTATGAACATGAACATGGTAAATGGCGCTTATTTTTATGTTACAGCACAGTAATTGGGATCGTCTCACACGGCAGTGGATGCGGAACTTCTCCAGCAGTATACATGAACGTATTCTACTTTAAGCCGTGGATATCTCGTACGGTTAAACGGCTAAACCAAAAGTTTTGTCACCACTTAGAAGAACTTAACTCTACAATTATACTTCTTTAATAAGAAATAACGAAGTACACAAACTATAAACGCCGATTTTTATTAAAATTCACAACCGTTGTAATGAGTGTTACATTCTATTGTGCTGAATGTGTCTACAATTAATTACGTATTAACGATAAATAAAACTAAATAATAGATTCCTTTCTGCATCTTTTTGCGTTCCGTTACAGTCAGAAAATCTGAAACCCTATGCAATCAATACACTGTTGTTTTAGTTGCAATAGCACAAATTTTGAATTTGGCATCCCATTTACAGTCGTGTAATGTTAATGTACTTAGCGTATGTGCTACAATGTGTACATTGTACTTAAGCAATTATGAACAGAAGGACATTCATGTGGTTTTTAGATATATTTGCGATGAGGTTAAAAAAAGCATCATTCGTATTTATGGCTAAACAAACATATTTTTTTAATTATCTATAGTTTCTAACTGGTAAAATGTGTGATCTCGAGTTGCACTTGGAAAATAACGTGTGTGCAATTGTCATTGCGGGATGTTAAAGTTTCTCTCCGTAAAATTGTGTTTTACGTAAAGATCAGCCCTAACTACAGTCCACTAATGTAAGAATACAACAATTACACAAAAATAAATCTAGTTTTTTTTTAAATATTATATTGGGGTTAAAGTATGAAATTGCCGTTTTATTGCAATAGGTTCTTTGAATTTTCATAGAATCTTCATGGTTTGAGGTTTTCGAATGAAACTTTTTTCAAATGGTTTCTGTGATTTTTTTTTTTAAATTTGAAACATTTGAATATCGACTTTCAATTGTTTTTGTTATTCAATTTAGACAAGAAAGATGGATACTGCGAAAATTCGAGTGATTTTTGAATACGAGTTCCGACGCGGAACTAACGCGGCAGAAACAGCCCGCAATATCAATGCTGCGTTTGGAGAGGGGTCTACTAATGAACGCACCGTGCGATTTTGGTTTAAACGCTTTCGTGATGGAAATTTCGACTTAAAGAACGAGTCACGAGGAAGACCGCCCACACAGGTGAATAACGATGAATTAAGAGAGATAGTGGAAGCCGATCCTAGTCAAACTACCCAGGAATTAGCGGCATGGTTTAACGTTACCTTATCCACAATATTGACTCACTTGCGTCAAATCAATAAAATAAAAAAATACGAAAAATGGGTGCCTCATGATTTGACTGATCTGCAGAAAGAAACGCGTGTTGAAACTTGTGTTGCCTTGTTGAACCGGTACAGAAATGAAGGAATATTGGATCGAATTGTAACATGTGATGAAAAGTGGATTCTTTATGATAACCGGAAAAGAAAAATGCAATGGCTGACCCCAGGTCAAATGCCACAACAGTGTCCTAAAGCAAAACTTACCAATAAAAAGGTAATGGTAACTGTTTGGTGGTCTCAGCATGGTGTTATTCACTATAGTTTTCTCCGATCTGGTCAAGCAATAACGGCAGATGTCTATTGTGCCGAACTCCGAACCATGTTGACAAAACTAGCAGTAAAACAGCCCCGACTCATGAATCGATCTTCACCATTATTCCTCCACGACAACGCGAGACCTCACACAGCACGAGAAACCATTTTGACCCTTCAGGAACTGCAGTTAGAAACCATTCGTCATCCTCCGTATTCACCAGACCTTGCTCCAACGGACTACCATTTTTTTCGTGATTTGGACAATTATCTACGTGACAAGAAGTTTTCTTCCCAGGAGGCAGTACAAAATGCTTTCACACAGTTTGTGCAGTCTAGATCGTCGGAGTTCTATCGCAAAGGCATTAATAACCTTCCCATTAGATGGCAGCAATGTATAGATAATAATGGCAACTATTTTGATTAAATAAATTTGTTAAAAATTTAAAAAATAAACAATTTAGATTTTCAGTACAAATCGGCAATTTCATACTTTAACCCCTATTATTTAGACAATTTTAAGTGTCTCGGAAAAAGTTGTTTTTGCCACTAAGCAGTAATGCGAACATTGCTGCGTCCCGCTTTTGAAGGGTAAGGGTGCTGGTGAAATTACAAGCACATTAGACATGTAAACTATATATCTCAGGGTGACGGGCGCAATGGCAGCGTCTCTCAGGTCTTTGAGATTTAAATCTCTGAGTGGCGCTGCAACTGTTTTGCTTGACTTGTTCGTCTCATCACTGGGTTTCAAACGAAATCTTACACACGAAATAATAAGCTAAACAACAAATCTTTTTAAATTGATTCATGCCGTGGTGTCTGTGAGTATACACATCACCTTGTGAATGTTATAAATGAAACTTCCTTTCCGTATTTAAATTTTATTTTAAAAGCAATTAAGACACAAAATACCAATTGCGCATTCCTACATACTTTGGTGTTGCTGTCCTATAAAATTAGCTAAGTTTAGAAAATAAGTAGAGAATATCCTTGTATATTCTCAAGTCTTCAGCAAACCTAGGAGAGTGCAGAAATTCTTGGAGAAGCTTGGGTGGCATGAGAAGGACCCTGCCACCTACCATGTGTGCAAAACTGGCGTCTAGACGTTGAGTTGCCAACACCAGCCCGTTACACTATATCATACCAATGATACCTTTATATATCACAAATCGTTGCCAATACCGAAATTAACTCAAAATGCATCGGAAAAAGGTACAAGTAATAATGAACCTTGTAATGATTACCAACATAATAAAAAAATAGATTATTTAGCGATGATGAGTTAAAATTTCATAACTGCTTGAACTAGTGACTCATTAAAAATCCGACGTATCTACTTGTACGTTTAAAATTCATTTTAAATCACAAAAATTACAAAAGACTATTCTTCAGAGACCGCTCACTTTTATACTAAGCAAAGTTACTTAGTATAAAAGTGATAAGTATCAGTGTACATTTTTTTTGCAGTAGAGCTCCTTGTGAAAGAGCTCATCCGGGGTAGTATTGCCGCCTTACCTATTTCTGCGGCCAAGCAGTAATGTCAGTAATACTGTGTTCCGATTTTGAAGGGTAAAGATGCTGGAGAAATTACAGGCACATGGGACTTGTCAAGTTATGTCTCAGGCTGACGGGCGCAGTGGAAGTGCTCCTCGGATCTTTGTGATTTAAAGCTTTCAGTGGCACTACAACTGTTATGGACAGGCGTGTAGCTTACCATCAGGCGCACGACTGAAGCCACATTAGTTGATAATGTTGATTGATTTTTTTAGCCTCACGATTTTATAGCATTATGATGTGACATAAAAATTAATGGCCTTCCGCGTATAAACTCGATATGCCATCAATGTAACAATCATGCGAAGATTTCGTAGAATGTACATTTCCTTGAAGATTTTAATAATTATGTTTTGGACCTTTCAAATTAAATTAGTTCTATCGAAAGGACCACGCATACAGTTTCTGTCAGCGCATGCGACTATGGAGTCACATATCGTAGGGGGAGATCCAATAGATATTGAACTGTGTCCGTCAGCTGTGCTCATATACAACTTAGGATCAATGTGCGCGGGGTCCATTTTAAACAGCTACTCTGTTTTATCAGCGGCGCACTGCTTTGATCATAATAGTGACGTAGAGGAAATATCTGTACATGTTGGTGAGTAGTTTTTCAGTTCTAACACAAAATTATTTGCACGTAATTATGGCATTTAGAAACTCTAAAATTTAAGCGACGAAAATTCAGAAAAGACCATTTGCATACATATGTAGGAGTCCCAAGCCTGGGCTTCCATTTAAAGTATTGAGATGACAGATTTAAATAGTGTTATATTTGATTAAGATAAAAAGAAATGAAATATTTAACAGGATCCCAACATCGACGTGATGAAAAGGCAACTATTCATGATGTGATGCGTGTAGTGGTACATGTGGATTACAACAAAGCAACGGCTTTTGCCGCCGATATTGCAATCGTGTTTTTAGAGTATGCTATTACATTCGGAAAAAAAGCAAAGAAGGCAATTTTGGTTCGGACAAGTAGTTGGCGGAAAAAAAGCGAACGCGATTTTTATGTCACAGGCTGGGGAATGATTAGGGTAAGCAAAGTGATGTAATTAGATGCTACTCTAACACAAGCTCTTTATTTTAGTAGCATGTTTTTCTCAATGAATTAGATTACTTTATATCTTTATAATTAGCACGTTCATCGCTAAAAAAATGTGTTTATGAAAATTTGTGCTTATTCGTCTATTTCTTGTTCGTTCATTCTAAAATACGAAAAGACTGTTAAGATCTTTCAAATTATTGCTTCTCAGTACAACGGTCCGTTATCAGAAGTTGGTTTGATGAAAACAAAGCTCAGATACATTCCACTATCCGAGTGCAGTAAATTGCATGGTATACCGTTTTCACCAGACATGTTTTGTTTGTATGGAGATGCCAAACATGATTCTTGCAAAGGCGATTCTGGTGGAGGTGTCATATGGAAAGGGTAAGTATAACCCACTGATGATCATCGGATCATAACTTATAAGGGTTCATAAGGAAGGTCTAGCCAAAACGTACAAACCCTTATACTCATCATGAATATACAATGAGTCTCTAGATGCCAAGAAATACTTCAATTACAACTTTACTTTAGAATTCACTTAAATTAAGTAGAGAGTTTCAGTAGCAGTAGAGCTCCTTGTGAAAGAGTTCGTCCTGGGAAGTACTGCCAACTTACTTATTTCTGCCGTCAAGCAGTAACGTAAGCATTACAGCGGTTTTGAAGGTTGAGAGTTCTCGTGAAATTATAGGCACATGGGACTTGTCAACTTATGTCTCAGGGTGGCGGGCGCAGTGGCTGTGTTCCTGAGTTATTTGTGATTTAAAGCCTTGAATATCATTGCAACTGTTCTGGACAGGCATGTAGCTAACCACCAGGTGCGCGATTTGCTCGTCCCGTCTCATAAAAAAAAGATTTGTCTTTTTAGTGTCCGAAAGCAAGCATAAGTAAAGTTGTTTTAACCACGATGAAAAATGTAATTATGTTTTTCTTTTATCGTTACGTATTGGTTGATTGAATAATTTAATTTTTGCATTATTTTATACAGATTCCTGGTGGGAATTGTGTCTCACGGTGATGGATGCGCGGGCAAGAACAAACCAAGTGTATATGTAAGCACTTATTATTATCGAGGGTGGATTAGAAAACAGGTCTTATACCACGTAAGGTACTATTGTGACCATATTTAGGTATGTGTTATTGGCACCATACCTGTAGCCATTCATATACGTCCTACTATTGGATACCAGTCTCCTTTATAGGGAGGTTAAAGGAAATCATTACAAGGTTAGGGGACTTGATATATTTTTGTAGACAGTTTGGATCTTTTTCGGAACGCAGAACTTCTGCTTGTCCGGTGAAGAAAGTTAATGGAAGTGATGATACAGCTATGGACGAGTAGTATTTAAAATGGGTAATTGATGGTTAAATGTGTTAAAATTTTATATTAACTTGATTTTTCATATTTGAAATTCGTTGTAGAATAAAAAGCTTTCAGACATTTGTAAATATCCCGAAAATATGAATTGAGATTGAAACAGCAATACTTTTTATAAAGTCACAATATTCTTCATCTTATCCTATCGATGGCGTACTCTATAGTGCTTGCATCGTGGTGGAAGAACTAACTAATCGGTGTAAGGTTCTCGCCGATTGTTGCCCAGGGTACGTCAGACGTACAGGAAAGGAATGGTACATCTTGCGGGGAAGCTCCTTCGTGCACCCCAAGGTCGCAATATTGATGGCACCATACAAACTACATACTAATTATCGTTTTGTTCAAAAAGAGACAGAGCATTCCTCAATCACTAATTTCAATCTTATTATCATATTTCTGGTGTTAATTGAGATATCGGAAAACGAATTTCAGATTTTCAGCATATCCAAAGATGAAAATGAACTTCATGAAGATAAAAAAAAAACATAATTATGACTTATAGGATGTATTATATTAATATTAATTCAGATTACTTATAGGATATTCGTTATCTCCAATGATCACTACGCCAACAAAATTTTATGACCTGTTCTGTTTTTATTTTTTTTTGTTTCTTTATTTTTTCTTCACATAATTCGTTCTTTTTGAATGTTTTCGAAAATTGTTTTTTGTTTCTTTATTTTTTCTCACAAAATTCGGTGAGCATAATATTGGAATAAATAAATAAAATGTTTCCAAAAATATCCGAAAATTACCAAAAAATAAGGCTGTGTAGTATTCATTGCAGATATCGGATTATTATACCCTTTAAGTAATCTGAATTGTACATGACGTGGAAACAGTTAGGGTTGCAGTCTCGTATTCAGAATGGAATCAGAAATTACTAATACCAGTAAAATATCTGTAACTAGTGATAACTATTTTTGAAGTTATTAATGGCGCCAATATTTATAGATTCAAAATGTAACTTTGTAAGTTTTTTTAAAGTTCTATGCTAATTCTGATGTTGTCATTCTGTAAGCCGCGGCCGCGGTGGCGGTCATTTAATTGCATACTCAAATATATCATTATTTTATTGGTAAACAAATTATACTATAAATCGTCACATTGATAAAACTCTACTCATTCGTAAGACAGATTCCCTTGTGAAGAATGAGTCAGAAATCGTGGGGTTTGTTCTTTGTAAATAAACATTTGTACACAATTAAGCTTAAAGTCATTATCATGGATTTTTGTAATTCAAGAATGCCGGAACTGTATGTATAATAGATTTTAGTATAAAGTTTTTGTTTCACTATAGTTTTAAACATCGTAAATGGTAAATTTTGAATATCAACCGTAATCTTATTATTGAAGTGTATTGAATTGTTTTTTAAATGAATTAGTGTCTTTGTGAAAGCGACTGCCAAGAAGAGCCAGTTTATTTTTATGCTTCTTATTAATATTATGTCTACCACTATATTTTACAAAAAAAAATCTATTCTTTTTAGCGTTGATTACATTTTCACAAATGTACTGCGACGCTAGTCGCATAAGAATGTTAATTTCGTTCAAAATATTTAGAAGTATTTTCTAAAATTTAATATCTTGAGATGTCTATTTAATGAAATATACATTTATAAAATGATTTTTATTTACCTTCAAATACAAAACACAAATACTAAGCTTCATATGTAATTGCATGCCTATTTTTATACCTATTAATTTGTGAAGTATATGTTTCAATAAAAAGATGTATCAAGATTGTTTACATTTAGTTAAGTACCTAAACAAATGGACTATAGTAGTACATATTATAATTGTGGCTATAATAAATTTATTACGTATTAAAATATGACACACTATACAAAAAAAAAAGGTGCAACAAAACAGGTTAGTCATATTTTAGGAATTGAAAGTATCATGATACTGAACAACCTCAGATATAAAAATGACTCGAAAATATTACTTACATTTTCCATACCGGTCTGTCGTGTCTGCGACACAGCATCGTAATATATGAAACGTTAAAAACTATTCAAATAGATGAAAAAATTCGGTTGAAATTATTTTGTGATATAGACCGTTTCTTTTACTGGAATATGATTACCTATTTGTTAGTAATCCAGGTCGTAAAGGTTGTGATCGTCATTCAAAATAATAAAACATTGGGAACCGAAGGTTAAAAACTAGCGGAGCACACGTGGTTGTGGAATCGCGGCTTCCATAGAATGTAGATATGTATGTAAAATTTAGTAGCACATTTCACGACGCGTTTTACGCCCGTGACGGGGACGGTGGCTCACGGTAGCCGACACGATCTCGATCGGTCGTAAATAACCGCGCGACCTGCGATCATCTCCCGCCAAGTTTGCGGTCTGTTCCGCAACTGCGGTGGCTATGTGACTGCATAAACCTGCGGTGAATATTGCAATAAAACGGCTATATGCGGCAGGTGCTGGTGAAAACTGTTCCATGAGTTTTTAGCCTAAGTCGGATTTGTCATACAAATTGAAATACTTTGAGGAATATGGGGAATTAAAAAAAATAATATTATATTAATGTTATAGTAATATTATTGTTTCAAATGAAATACTTTATATTTATTACATATACATTGTACTTTAAAATATATACTAGATGGCGGTTAGAAATTATCGTTATAACGAGTATTTATAATTTACTTAAAGAAAAATAAATAATTTTCTACACAATAATAATTTGTTGAATTTTGTCATCATAATCTTCACTTTAGTGAAAAGACGTACTGTGGGACATGCTTGCATCCAGCGGATTCTCGTTGGTCATCGGCTGACTTGGCGTAGCTGACCTGGACAAACTGCAGCACAGACCAGGGGGCCTATTATGAGCTTAAGGGTTGTATTCTAGAACTCTACTCAATGCTCAAGTCAGGATTGCAATGGAAACACAAGCACTGGAAATACGACCTTAATGGCAAGGACTTGTGTATGATTTTCAGTGCACACAGCAATACTCAAGTCCTGACTTGAGTATTGAGTAGAGTTCTGGAATACGACCCTTAGAGTCTTATTTTTAACATTAACTAATGTATATGGCCTGCATATAATGAATCACATGAAAAAATAGATAGCTATACTACCGATGTACTGTGATGGTTCAAGAAGTATACAAACGGATCGTGTTCGAAAAGAAAAACGTTACGTTTTTTAAAATAATTTTATTATCTATAAAATAAAGTAATTTAATGCGTTATTTTCGAATATCGGCAACTTTTCAATAGTACTTTACAATGTATATCGTAAAGCAAAATTAAACGTCTTGTTACTAACATTGAAATGATTGTGGTGACTTTGCAGTTTGATAACAGAGTTCGAATGCATCACATTTATATTCATTATCAAGCCGTATTCTCACATTCGTGCGAGTTGCGATGCGAATAGCGATGCGATACACGAACACTCATTATGTAAACGGTCAGCTCGTTATTCGTGTCGCGACTCGCATCGCCACGTGTCGCGCGAAGTTAGGCACGAGTGGCGACGCGAAGTTAGGATCGTATTCTAGAACTCTACTCAACGCTCAAGTCAGGACTTGAGTATGATTTCAAGCACAGGAAATACGACCCTAACGGCAAGTACTTGAGTATGATTTCTAGTGCTTTAAATCATACTTAAGTCCTGACTTGAGCATTGAGTAGAATTCTGGAATACGAACCTACGACTTATTTGCAGTGTTGTCACTGTAGCCGGTTTTTAACAATATAGATTTTGGCACATTTACGAAATTGTTAGCTACAAAACAAAATAAAAATATTTGGTACCTAGCTAAATCTTTTAGCTCTTTTAGTAAGAAAAGTAAAAAATTGAAAAAAAAAAAACGAAAATAAAGTTTAAGTAACACAAATTATATGAAATGACGATTGATTGAATTGATCAATTTAATCAGTCTTTTATGTTTCAATTAAAAATCATAAATCAAATAAAAGACTTATTTTATTATTTATATTCATGTGTTTTATTCTGTCTTTAAGTAGGGAAAATTTTCAGGACAAAAGTATCGATACCTCAAGGTATCGATACGTTTGTTTCGATACTTGTCATGTATCGATTCTTTAGATTCGATTCCGTGTCTCTAGTTGAAAGCGAAAAATAACTCGTTAATGGCAAATTTTCGTGCGTTTGTACAGGTAACAAATTTACTATTTTTAGATGCTGGCTTATAAATACCTACTGCTTTAATTTTGTTACAGCCAAACTATGGAGAATATGTTCAAGTAATGCTCTGTGAAGATTCTGGGGAATTCTCAATTTTTTGTAGAATGTTTGTTACGGGTAAACCCGGTTACACACACACACACACACATGTGTGTGTGTGTGTGTGTGTGTGTGTGTGTGTGTGTGTGTGTAACCGGGAAAATCTTAATAGCGCGATTCAGGAATTTCACGAAAGGCCAATCCAACGCCATCCAGTGTTAACAAACCTAACTAATTATATGTGCTTTCTAATTTTACCTAAATTTAACTGAATATGGTAACATTATGTTTACAGAACATACTAACTTATACGTGTGAACAAGCGTAGATCTTATCAAACTAAAAATAATATCCTGAAGGATGTTGTTGAGTTTCTTTCTTTCAACTCGTAGCTCTAAATTAACTCGAGTTTGGTGAAATTACATCTTCAGCAGTCAAAGAAAATACTTATATAAGATTTTAAAATGATTGCAAAGTGTGACATTTCCATATAGTGAATCTATTTTATTGATATTAATAATCGATGCATTGCTTGAATTGAGCAGTCTATTGACATTCTTCAGTCTATTGACGTTTGTTAATCGAACTCAATTCTCAATTATTTAAATTAATTAAAGACAACGGAGAGAAACTCCGGCAGCATATGGACAATGGAAGGTGCAAATATATTGGTTATTAGAACCAATTGCAGCGGTCAACTTAATTTTATTTATTTATTTATTTATGCATTTTAGGAAAAATCACGGACAAATAATACAATTATAGTATGCTTAAATATGAGTAATAATGCCATGCCAATCCCATTATTTATTTAAAAGTATATAAAAAAAAGATCCGGGCATAAATGTTAAATAGTATTCATGAACTTAGAACAAAAAGCAAATTAATTAAATTTTTATTGAATTGATATTCAATTATTTTTT